ACTTGAAGATAGTGGGTGGGTAAACATTAGTAATAGAGAATACCCTCTCCTTAAGGAACTTTTAGTCTAGTGAGTACAGTTGACTGCACGTTCATGTGAGGAACCAAACCTTAGAGGGTGGAAGGGAAGGGAAAACCATGTTAGAGAGGTTACATGGAAAATGTGACAACCCTTACTCAATCCTCAACAGCAGAGGTAGGGGATGTGGGTTTGAGGAAGGAAGAGTATTCACTGGAGCAGTATGTGCAAAGGACAATAGACAAAAATGGTACATTAGAGCAGTAACTGGGGTCTTAAAATCTTGTGAGCAGCCATCTAAGGTACAACTATTGGTCTCTCCCCTTCAAGAGGAAAGAAGAGTTAATGAAGAAAATTAAAGACAATTGGAAACAATAGTGGACTAAAAGGACCACAAGAACATCAGCCTCCACAACCCTGAGACCAGAAGAATTAGATGATGTATGGCTACTACTACAAACTGCTTTGAAAGGGATCACATTAGAAAGTCCTGGTTAGAGTAGAAGAAAATCGTAGAACACAACTTGATCATAAAAAAAACTTAGGATTATAGACTTCTAGTGTGACGTTGTGAAATCAGCACTGGACTGTGAACCCTAAGGTCAGCAGTTCAAACCTACCAGCTACTCCTTGGAAACCCTGCATAGGGTCACTATGAGTCAGAACCGACTTTACGATACTTAACAACAACAACAGCACTCAGATAGAGACTAGTGGAGCTCCAAAGACTGTTGGGAGCTCCCAAGGCCTTTACCCACCCTTCAGGTCTGGAACTAAACTTAACCTCCATGGCTCAATTTTCAGTCAAACAGTAGACAGATTTATAAAGAGAATAGTAACAGTTGGGAGGTATGCAGTCCTTACGATAAAAAATAAAGCATTTGTACCCAAGGATAAAATTCAGAAGGATTGGGAAAGAGGAGGAATGGCAACAGGAAACATGGGGAAGAAGTGGGATAAATTATATTACATTGTGGGGATAGCAACTAGTGACATGATACAAACTGTTTGAATTGTTGAATGTAAAACTGATTTGTTCTGTAAACCTTCACTCAATTCATACTAAAAACTTAAAATACAAATTTTTAAAATTCTTTAATGATGCATTACAAGCATTTCATAGAGTTGAAAATGACTAGAGCATAGAGCTCTATGAAAGAGGCCAGAGAGAAACTGGTAAGTAAGCAGCAACCTAGTTTGGATACTGTAATAAAGAATCTGTACTTGATCCTGAAGGGTAGAAAGTAGCATTTCAAAGATTCGTAACTAGAGAAGGGAGTTACATACTTAGATTGTGCTTAAATAACATCCCAAATATAATGGGAAAAGTGGAATTGAAAGATGCCTACTTCTGGCAGTTTGGGGATCAGATACGCCGAAGGACTACAAAACAATTAACTCTTTTTTTTCTTTTTTTTTTTTAGTAATAAAACAGGGACTTTATTATTCCCAACACAGGGCAGGTCTTCACGGGTGGTGGGAGGCGGCTTTGGGCCCCTACTTGCCGGCAATGAGTGAGTTGCACAGGACAACAATGACAGAGTCCCCACGTAGGAACATCTT